AAATATTTCCTGAGTTAAGACGAGGGAAGTTCAGTCTCTGGGCCTCACATGATTTTGCTCTAATTTAAGTTAAACAATAGTAACCTCACATCACACTAGTAGTGGATGCGCTTCCACTTAAGAAAAAACTATTTAAAACATCGAAACACATAAGAGATACAGGTAGTAAAAAGGAAGAGTAAAATTTGCAGAAGTTGTGATTCTCTCTTTAGAAAACCCAAGAAGCTATCTGAAAAACCAGGTAATAATATAAAAGTCTGTAAATAACTGTATGAAAACTAGTCAAAAGTTAATAGCTCCCCTATATAAAACATAAGCTTCTCTTTCACGACAGCAAGAAAAAATTATGGAAGACCATGTAAAAATCCATATGACGACTGGTTAGGTGGGATGGAGCAAGCAGAAGTAAACCATCCAAGTAGGAGTTTACTTCCAAAATTCTTTAAAATTATATCAACTGTATTTTTAAAAGAGTATGTCCAGAAAAGCACAGAAGGAAAACACCACAGGAGTGGATCCATCACCGCTGGAGAGTATGATGAGTTACTGGTAGAGAGAAAGCAGGAGACACTAAACTCATCCAGAAACATGAGTAAAGGGAGGGGAGCTGCTTAGAACTGAAATATACCAGCTGCTGGGACCAGAACAGGAGCAGGAAGGCCAGCCTCACGGAGCACAGGCTCAGGGGCAACAGATGCCCACCTGCCACTACCAGGAAACCTAAGAAGTGAATCTGGGTCACCCTGCAGAGGCTGATCTACAACGGCAGTAATGTTAGGCCTCAGGCTGGAAGCTGAGAGCAGCCGTGAAGAAAGGGAATGGTGTACCTGCCACATGCGCAGCTATGACAGATCATTTCCTGACCTCCATGTGGCTAAAGTGGTCATGTTCTGGGCACTGACATTTAAGTGGAAATCACTGGGTAAGATTAGTACGCACTTTTTTTTTTTTTAAACTCCTCACCTTTTCCCTTCTTCATGCATAAGAACTGGATGTAATGGGTGGAGCTCTGGCAACCATCTCATGTTCATGAGGATGAGGGTCACATCCTGAGGCTGGTGGAGGAGAAAGCTAGATGAAGCCTAAGTTCCTACTGACTTTGTGGAGCTACCATACCAGGCCTGGACAGTATAGTTTCTAGCTCAAAAAGGTACATAACTACTTAGCTTTGAAATACGTAAAGCAAGATTTGCTAGAGAAGAAACTGGCAATTCAACAATCAGTGGGAGATTTTAATACATCTGTTTCTAAAGTCAACTGATCTTAAACATTAAAATTAAAAGGCAAAAATTATCAGTCTGGATTAAAAAAAGCAAGCCCTAACCACATGCTGTAAGGGATTTAAATTTTTTTAGTGCAGACAGGTAGAAAATAAGATGAAAAAAGATATGCCATGCAAACAAGTGGGTATCAGAATCAGACAAAGAAGGCAAGGAATATTACAGAGAAAATGAGAATCATTTCATAATGATAAGGCAGCCAATTTAGCAAGACATAATTCTAAATATGACACACCTAATAATAGAGCTTCAAAACACATGTAGCAAAAATTGATAGAACTAAAGGGAAAAATAAATCCACAATCATAGTTGGAGATTTTGCCATTTTCCTCTCAGTAACTGATGGAAAAAAAAAAAAGACATAAAAATCACTAAGGATACAAAAGACTTGAATACACCAGATAACAACTCCACCTCACTGACATTTCTGGAACATCCCACCCAACTGTAGAATGCACAATCTGTAAGTGCACATGGAATAGTCATCAAGACAGACCCTTATCCCTGACCAAAATCAGTTAACGAAGCAAGAAAAAAATGAGAAATAATTCTGAGGACTTAACACAACTGGCAAGTTAGATCCAACAGATCTACGTAGCATAGATCCCAACAGGGACAAAAACATCCTTTTCAAACCACATGAAGCAGTACCAAAAACTGACCATGAACCTGGCTTGGCAGGCAGCCTTCAATATGGACCCCAGTGAGCCTCACCTCCCAGGAACCTCACCCTTGTGGTCCCTTCCCACTGAGTATGGGCTGAACTTAGTGATTCCCTTCTGATGAACAGAATAAAACGAATGTGATGGTGTGTGACCCAGGGACTAGGTCATGCCTCGTATTGCTCTCACTCTCTGATCACTCCTCCTGAGAAGCCAGCTACTATATGGTGAAGCCCACCTGGTGAGGAACCGAGACCTCCTGCCGAAAGCCGTGTAAAGTGAACCCAGGAAGCTGCTCTCCCAACCCCAGTGGAATCCTCAGATGCCTAGAGACCCACCAACAGCTTGCTGAACCCTTGGCAGAGGTCCTGAGGCAGAATCACCCAGGTAAATTGTTTCTAGATTCCTGACTGTCAGAAACTGAGATAGTAACTGTTCACTGTTTAAAGCTACCAAGTTTGGAGAGTAATTTGTCACATAAAAACAAATAGCACATAAGCCATTAGGGAAAAAAAAAAGTCCCCACACTAAAATTTATACAATCTACTTTGCCTGATCCCAAAGCAATAAAAATAAACAATAATGACAAATCTTTCTTAGAATTTTTAAACCCTTTTAAATAATTCTTGGTTAAGATGGCTGTCAAAATGAAATTATAAACTATTTAGAAATGAATAAAAATGAAAACACTACATATCAAAACCCAGGGGATGCAGCCAAATACATTAAGAAACATTTCTAGCTTAAATATATAGTATTTGTTAGAAGCCAGGAAAGATTAAAGGGAAATGAACTAAGCACTTGACTCAAGAAACTAGAAGAACCCCCAAAATCCACAAATTATTCAGTACTACTAGCAATCCCTGTCAATGTATGAAGAATTGAAAAAAGAGCTGTAACTATTGGAAAAAGAGATGTCATAATTGAGACAATGTGTTCATCAAATTAGAAAATCCAGGGGAATCAATGACTATTAGAACTAATTCCAATCATTAGAACCAAAGAAGACTTCAGAAAAGTGGCTATATCTAAGGCCAACAAAGTCACTAGGACGGTAATTGGAAATTTCATGGAGAAAGATTCCATTCCAAACTGTCAGATTATCTAGGAATAAATTTACCAGGAAATATATAAGAGAAAAATGAATAAAACTGTAAGATTTTACTAGAAGAAAGACTTACAATGATCCTGAATAAAAAGGTTTAATAAATAAGATTTTAGCTCAAAAATTTATCTATGAATTCAAAGCAATTCCAGTCAAAATCCCAAGAATTATGTCAAGCTAATACTAAAATTCATGTCAAAAATTTCCAAGAAAATAGTTTTTAAAAACAATGAAGGCAATTCCTTTATCACATGTGCTAAAAAGTTACAGCAAATATGATTGTATAATTCTACGACAGCAATAAACAGATTATGAAACTAAGTGACAGATCATGAGCAGATCCATACACGGGAATTTCATGTCAGATACAGGCGGCTCTTCAGATCAAAGGAGATAAAACAGGTAATTCAGTAACTATTACTAGACAAGTCAAATAGCCACTCATAAAAAAACAGAATACACTTACCTCACACTACGCAAGCACAAAATTCAGATGGCTTATAAAGATACGAGAAACTCTAGACCAATGCTTTTATGACCTTGGCAGAGTTAACAAAACACACAGTACCTAGAAACTATAAAGGAAAAAGACTGACTTATTCGCTCATATAAAATGTTAAAACTTCTTGACAATAAAAGATCCTATAAAGCAGCATCAAAATACTAGACGATGAAGAGAGAATAACCGCAAAGGATTAAAATTTACAACATGTAAATACATAAAATGTATAATATAGAAAGCATTCCTCTAAGTTGAGAAAAAACAGTAGAAAAATGAGCAAAGCACATAAATATCTAAGACACAGAAAGAAATAAAATAATAAACTTTGGAATGATGTAATATAGCAGTTATAATAAATGCACATTAAGACTATAAGAAAACCATTTTGTCACCCAGTTTTGCAATACTTGTTTTTTTAATTTTTGTGGGTGTCAGCAAGGAAGGTCAGACAGATATTCTCATACACTACATTTAGAAGAACAAGTTGGCAAAAAACACTTTCATGCAGTAATTTTACCTCTAAAAATCCACCATATTGAAATGTTTTTAAAATCTCTGCAATGGTTTAAAATAATTTTCAAAATTCTTCTCAGAATGAGAAATTTAACTTAAAATAGTCAACTGAAATATTTTAACTACCAAAAATGCAAACACGTGGAGAAATGTTCATAATATGAAATGAAAAGATAGCAAATTCTACAGAAGTAGGTGGACTCACAATAAAAGCAGTAGGGCTAACATTTATTGAACACTTACGATGGGTCAGATACTGTTCTCAGCTCTTTCTCGGTATTAGCTTATTTAATTTATACAACCCCAAAATGAAGTAAATACTATTTTAATGCCCATAAAGATAAACTGATGCACTGCAGGTCTGAGTGGATTTATCTATGTTAGAGGACAACATTCACTTACATGAAGTAGTTAGGGGGTATCTGCGAAGGCTTTAAGGGCTCTGAGCTTGGTTAGTGAAGGTTTTCAAGTTGAGCTTCTAATACTGCAACCTCACCCACCCATGGCCATCAACTCAGCAAGATCTAGTATCCTTGCCAAGGCTGAGAAGCAAAGAAAGGGTAAGCCAACAGGAAAAGTTAAAGCTCTGCCTCCCTTCCTAGAGGGAGGCGTCTCGCTTGGTGACCTGGGTAAGAAAAGGTGGAAGTCCCCCTGCCCACCTTCAGCTCACCTGGTCTACTAGGTGAGAGGAGGCCGAGATGCACCAAAGCCATCTCAAGGCCGAAGTGGATGCCTGGATCTTCCCCGGTGACTGGCACAAACACAGGTGTTTGGGTTCTCACCTCCTAAAAACACCACCAGCCCCCTATGATTACACAATCAGGCTGACCCTAAAGTAAAACATTAAAAAAAAAAAGTTGTAGAGCAGGCTCCCACCCCTCCTTTCCTCCCTCCCTGATCTCCCAACCATAGTCTCCATCCTTAAGGACCCCCCCCAACACACACACACAGCTCTGCTCTCAACCTGCCCAAATCACTCAAGAAGGAAGCTCAGAATTTTGAACTTTATTATCAGTTGAAGAAATAAGTGCATTAAGATAAAAAAAGAATGGCCCTGAAGCAGACTGTGCAGGGGAATTTTTAACCAGTGGCAGATTTTCCAGCATCCATGGGGGAATGCTCGAGAAGGAGGCCTTCCCAGCCTCTTCCTCCCCACACTGACCAGGCTGTTACTGATATATACAGCCGATCCTGGTGGCAAACAAACAGCTCAATTAGTAATCAGCTCTGTCTTTTCACCTCATGAAAAGGTAACCTGATTTCCCTGCAAGTATAATATATTTGATCATTAAAAACTCTAAAAGCCCCCATGGGATAATTAAAGCGTGTGAGAAGAGAAACATGAACGTATCGTGATGGATGGCCGCACATGAGCCCCGAAAGCACAGCTGCAAGAAAGGCGCTGATGAGATTGATGAAGGCTTCAGGCACGTGGCAACTTCCCAGCAGCACAGGTGAAGGCTGGTGCTGCATGCGGGCCTCTAAAGGGGAAGCTGAAAGCTCCTTAAGGGGCAATTTAGAGCTCATATCAGAGTTGCAGTAACGCACTGTGTTCCACGGCTCCAACCACGTTTTGACCTGGCCAGTTTGACGCTGTGATGTCTGAAACATCTCAGACTGTCCAACTCAGGTACAGATCCTGGAGACAAATGGCTGACAGATGCCGAGCCTATTAACTACAGCCACAAAGCAGCTTTAATTTAGAAAGTAAACATGGCACAATGTTAAAACCTAAAGCCCCTAGCAGGAGAGCATTAATGAGGCTGGGAAAGAGCAGGGGCAGAGGAATGACTGAGGGGAGCCGCGGGTTCTGAAGCAGCAGGACTCTGCGTGGTGCTGCAGCAAGGACCACCCCGCCTTCCTTTAGGGTCTCCTGGCTTATCCCATAGTTCACCTTTATCATCTCAACCTGCTGCACCTACTGTGTGCCAGGTCGTGTGCTGAGAACTGAGCCTACAGAGATAAACAGAACACAGGTGGCCCCAACCCTCTGCACTTAGTCTAGACCAGACTTTTTCTGTGGAAGGACAAATAATTTAGGCTTTCCAGGCCGTGTGGTCACAGCTTAGCAGCCAGAAAGTTCTACATGTAAACAAAGCTAGTATCTAAGTGAATGGCCACAGCTGTGTCTCTAAAATTTACAAAAGCAAGTGGTGGCTGGATTTGGCCTGCAGGCAGTAGGCTGCCAATCCTGGGTCTAGAAGGCCATTAAACAAATAAATAGTTAAAACTACAGTAATTGGAGCCTGCTCTGTGCCAAGTACCATTTAGCATGCTTTATGATATTTACTCATGTAATTCTCACAGCAACCCGCTAAGCTAGTGTTATTATGCCCATTTTACAGATAGGAAAATTAAGGCATAGAAATGTTAACAACTCAGCCATGATCACACAAATAGGATGAGCTAGAGTTTGTACCCTGCAGGTCCAGGGCACACGTGAGCACCTCAATGCAACCTGCAACCCTCTCCTGCACCAAACTGCCTCATCAAGTATATAAGGCCAAGTGTGGGGGGAAAAAAAAAGGCCAAGTGTGTTCAAATGTTAAGAAAAATAAGAACAGGATAGCCTACGTTAGACGGGCTAATCAGAAAATAGTGGCACCTAAAGCATGAGAACTGGCCAGCCAGGAAAGCAGCAACAGAAAGGAGAGAACAGTCTGGGCTGGTTAGTTTTCTGTTGCTGCCGTCCAAATGATCACAAACTCAAAACACAAATTTATCATCTCCCAGTTCTATAGGTCAGAATCTAGGACATCCTCTGGTTTCTCTGCTCCAGGTCTTATAAGGCCCGAATCCAGGCATCAGCGGCTGGGCTCTTACCTGAAGGCTCCGGGTGTAGACTTGGCTGCTAAACTCACTCAGGTTCTCAGAAGAACTTACCTGCTTGTGGCTGGAGGACTGAGTTTTCGTCTCCCTGTCGGTCATCGGCCGGGAGCCTATCTCGGCTTCTTAGGCTGTCCGCATTCCTCGTCCGGTTGCCCCCCTCGTCCTTAAAAGCAGCACAGAATCCTTCTCACACTTCCACTCTCTCTGACTTCCTCTACTGCATCCTTCCTGCCTCCAACGAAAGTCCTCTGCTATTAAGGGCTCACGTGATTAAACTGGATGCACCTGGATGAGAGAGGCTACCCTCCCCATTTTGTGGTCTGGAGCATTAATGACACCTGCAAAGTCCCTGTGACCATGCAACAAAATACATCATAGCTTATAGAAATTAGAGCATAAATATCTCTGGGGGCCCTTTGCCTCCCATACAGCAGAGGGAACAATACATGCAAAGGTCTTGGCATCATAACTAAAATGAGGCCAGTGTGGGGAGAGGAGAGCAAGAGGGGAGAGTGAGGAAGAGCCGGGCCAGCCCAGGATGGAGGGGTGGCCTGGGGCCGGGTGCCGCAGGCCTCGCAGGCCACAGTAAGAAGTTGAGGTTTTGCCCTACGTGCTTTGGAAAGCCATGAAAGGCTTATAAGCAGGGGGAATATTATCTAATTCAAGTTTTTTGAATGATTAGCTGCTGAGTAGAGGGAATGGATGAGTGAGGGTCAAGAGCATAAGTAGGGAGACCAATTGTGTGGCTGACGGTGGCCTGTGACAGTGGCAGCAGTGAAACTGGAAGATTTGACACGTTTTAGAGGAGACTTGTTGATGGACTTGATACAAACGGTAAAGAGAGAGGGGTGCTAAGAACAAGAAAGGACGACAGTAGGAAGACCAGGTTTGGAGTTGAAGATCAGAAATTCAGCTTTGGACACGCATTGCTGAGATGGCTATCTAAGCAGCTCTACAAAGTAGGCAATACATGTTTGGGGAGGCAGGCAGATGCCACAGAATTCTACCCACCCCAGAAGACTTTTCCAGCAGTCACTATGGTCTGAAATTCTCACCACTGGCCTCACTTCACCGGGGAAAGATTTTAGGTCTCCAGGAGGGTCTACAACATGCTTGTCAGCCGAGGGAGGCTGGAGAGGGACCCGAGGAGATGGGCTGCCCAACTGGAAGAAGGCGGGAGGAGCCGACAAGGAGCAAAACTGCACTTTACTGCAGTACAAGCGGGTGGTGCCCGAGGCTGCGGCGGTGCTCAGGTGTACGCACTTGTCCTTTTATGATGCTAGTGGCGCATGCGTGGTGTTCTTAGTGCTGACTCACGCTACTGGCGCATGCGTGGTGTTCATAGTGCTGACTCACGCTACTAGCGCATGCGTACATTTACCCCTTACCAGGTGCAAGCTATTGTGAACTTCGGCCTGGGCCCCACGGCCTACTCACTTAAGGCTACACACTCACACAACACTACAACTCTGGGTCGGCAAGCTCCCTGCTTAAGAGGCTATGAACCAGGAGGGAGGGATGGGATAGGGAGGAAGACACAGGATGGGACATTTTTGATGAGAGACAACTCAGAGCAAGCCCTGGGGGATGGCTGGCGTGAGAGGCATCTCAGGGGGAGACTCAATTAGGGTGTGCAGGAAAGATTTAAACCAAACCACCTTCTGTTCAGCCGGAATCCCTGACTGCAGAGACAAAGATGTCAATTAAGGAGAAGCACCTGAGATTTCTATGAGGCGCTTGTCATCCAGCAGAGGGACAGGAATACTGGCTTAGGCAGAATCCATTTCCACTGCCTGCCAGAAAGGTACATGTATGGGCTCCCCTGAGGATGCCCTGGGGCTGATCAGAGGAGGTCAGCGGGACGCGGCACAGGTGTCAGCACCAGACGTGTCGGGGTGGGCATCAAAGGTCCTATTACAGTTCCCAGGAGTTACTCTTGATCCTCTCCTCCACCTGAAGATACAGACATGCCATCTCCTGCAGAAACTTTCTTCAATTCAGTGCATACTTAGGAGTCAGACTGCATGGTTTTGTAGGCCAGCTTTGCCACTTACTGTGCAACCTTACGCAAGTCACTTAACCTCTCTGTGCCTCAGGTTTCTCATCTGCAAAATGGCGATGGCAATAATAGTATCGAGGAGTCCGCTCCTGGGGTAGCGATGTAAGGAGCTCTGCAGACCGACTCCCCAGGCAAACAAGCATAACTGGTGAAAACTGTTTAAAAACAAGCAGCCATTTAAAGTCTCTGAAAATTGTCCTAAGGGCACACAGCAAATGAAGAAATGCTTATTCAAGAAAATCTACTACCACTTGCTAAGAACTGTGAGAGCCTGGCATTTGACCACAACTCCCGCCCTCCCTCCCACCCAGATCTGCTCCCACCCCCACCCATCCACGCTGGGCAGCTGTGGCCAAGAAGAGGGCTCCCTCTACCCTCACTCCTAATCATGGGGTACAGGTCACTGGGGGAAGCAGGTTGCCAGCATTTCTCACACGTCTAGCTCCAACTGAAGAGGTGAAATTCCTGGTGAGTTCAGTCAAGAGATCAGGGGTTCCTTTCCTCGGCCCTTCCCCCACTCACAGGATGGATGCTTTAACCCGGGCTTATCAAGCCAAGAAAACTGGAGCCCCAGTGCCCCTGCCCCAGTTCACCCCCAGGGCAGAGGCTGCACACCAGGATTGGCTACGGCCTGCCACCCAGTGTCTGGAGGAGTGCTCAGAGTTTTCTGTGGGGAGAAACAGTCCCAAAGGAAAGACTGTATGTGAAACACAGTGTGGGAAAGTTCAAGCCTAAGAGAGAAAACATGGGAAATTGTGATTATCAGAAAATAAGAGGAGGCTGGTAGCTTTTCTTATTTAAGAGCAACAAACTAAACCACAGGCCCCCTAGTTCACCAGCGAGAACAGGAGAAGAGACAGCTAAGAGCCCCACTGGGGTCAAAACAAACCTCAAATACCAGCCTCAAACAGTACCCCTGCCCTAATTAAATTGGATCACATATGAACAGCTGATGCCCCGGGACACTGCTGAAAACAGCAGACCGATCACCAGCAATCAGTGGGCAGTAACAGCTGGGTGTGATACCAAAGAAGGCGACCATCTTCACATCTGCCTGGGGAGAGACACAGAGAGGACCCCGCTGAAACCACTGTCACCTCCAGGACTCAGCCCCTCTGGAACTCAGTCATTCACTTTCTCTCTGTGGGTAGAGGAGGTCAATAATTCAAATGAGTCCTGCAGAGATTCAGAATAGCTCTGTGCCACCACACTCATGGAACTGTGCTCAAATTAGATGTTTGGTAAAGCGCTTTACAAACCCTAACGTACACTATACATGCTGGGTAGCATTATTACTTAACAGGGCAATCAATATAAGGTAGTAATTAAGATGACAAATTCCAGGGTGAGGCATTGTGGGTTCAAAGCCATCACGTCTTGACTCTGGAGGTTACCTAACTGAGACTCAGTGACCTCATATATGAAATATGTCATGTCCCAGAGAACACACTTCTAACACATTCTGAAGTTCTAACACATTGCCTGATACCCAGCCAGTGACAACCAGTGAGAGTTGTGCCATAAACATAAAGTAGCACTAACATCTGACCACGTTGTTTTAGAAGCAGAATTTACCGGGACCCCAAAGCCAAATCTGAAATAGAAAATTGACTAATTCATTAACTTGTTGGAAACAAATAAGATCTAAGGAAAGATGTACCTGTCACTTAAAAAAAAATTCAGTCATTGATCTGTTGGATGTGGTTGGTACATTTCCACATTCCCCCAAAATATTTCACTTAATAAAGATAGTTCTAGGCTGCATCTGAAGGGTATTTGCTGCTGGTGTACAGTGATGTACATTGTAGTGCCTTTGATTGACATTAGAAAGACTTTCAACAGG